AAAACAATGTGCATTATTGTAGTAATCCTGTTCTATTGTTTTTCATCGTACTGTATTATATTTAAGAGGGAAATCTTGTTATTTTTCAGGAAATAAATTTATCTGGCAATGAAATAGGCCCAGCAACAATTGAAAGTATTGCAATCCAAATGAAATCTTTTCCGATAAAGCAGCTTATTTTGCACACAAACAACCTGGGAAGCGCTTTTGGTGCGATCAAATCAAGATGGTCAGAATACGATTACATTGATTTGGGCAGCGAAAGGTAATTGCCGAGGGCTCAAAGGATATTTCGTTCGGGTTTTCTTGTGTTCTGAGGGTTTTGCGATTTACGAAACAGATATGACTGCTTGTGCTTTCTTTGATCATTCGTACTTTGCGTAACCGTTTCCTCTTTAAAAACCACTTAATTACTCATTTGGTATTTTATCCAGTCTTGCAGTGATTCGTCTTAATAACTAGCAACTTCCTTGTCCTAATATATATTAGTATTTGTCTGATTCATACAAATCCATTTGTATTTAAACTTTCATATTTAAGTGTACATATATTTAAATATACCAGTTTCATCTCTTTTTAGCATCGTTCGAAGAAAGGACAATTAGCTAAAGTAGCAGTGGTGTGATGAGTTCAAAATTTAGCTAAAAAAAGCATTAGTTTAGGATTTGAAAATTATGTGGCTAACTGACTAACGTTTTTTTAACATTGGTTATTTTGATCAGTGTACGTTGTCTGATGATCAGCCTTATGGCGATCATGATAAATGAATGTGCTAGTGCTAAATCTGTATTAAAGTAACAGCCCCATTTCAGTGGCGACGAGGGATCGATCGACGATGTTGAGGCAGAAGATGAATTAGCGGAGCGATTTTCGGATGGACATCCATCCGGTGATGCAGGCTGCGAAAGCGATGATGAATACAACGGAAATTATGGTGACACCGACACTGGTGGTGATTTTTAGCAAATTAATTCAATGCTACTCTGCTAGCCATACGGCCACTCCTCTACGATTCCCCCCTCCCCCCTTCTTTTCTATGGCTTATTGATACTGTTCTTATCAGAAACTGAGAACACTTTTTAGTCTTTTTTTTTTACTGAAAGCTTTGGAGGAAAGAGCGGACATCATCTTTGCCAGCTAGTTGTTGCTATTTACGTGTGTGACAGTTCGAGCTTTTTCGAGTAACTGAGGCTCATTGAATGATTTGGAGGGATTTTTGGCTTCTAATTTTGAACTGACGGAAATTCACGTCTTTTTTCCCACTGAATGTACAGGAAGCTTGAATTTTTGTTACTTCGATTTCATTTTTCTGCTAAAAAATGGTTTTTAGTGGCCTGCTTAGATAAGGCATTCATGGCTCATGATTGGTGCCTTAGCAACTGGCTC